ATTATAATAATGGGCTGGCGGACATGCTATTTAAACCATAAAAAACCATTAGCATAAAGATATTTTGAAGAATACACCAGATGGGATAACCTACTGGTTGATTATATTTTTAGATATAACGGATGACCGGTGTTTTAGGCGCCTTACACACAATTATGCTTTTAGAAACTCTAGTTAATTACTTTATATATGTACCATCAAAGGCAGCACAGATATGAAGAGCATTATTGAAAGTGCTAACTCGGAAAAAGTACTGGTTTATGGTATTGAGTAGAGTGTAACTAAGGTTGATAAACTTGAAAGGCGACAAGAATTATACGAAACTTTTAAAGGAAGAGAATTACGATAAAAAAAAAATATGGTCCTCCTCGTTTATAAAAGTATTTTATGTGATTTATTTTAATAACAAAAGTTCTAAAGTTTGGGGTGAAAATTGGCGGAGCCCGTTGAGATAGAGAGAGTTTTGTTTACGGGTCAATTTAAACTAAATGGTAAATCTTTTAAGCGACACCGAGTTCATATAAAGAAAGCCTCAACCAATAAGTTAAGTTTATTTAATATAAATCTAAAGAAGTTTATTAACAAAAATATCTCAATGAATTATTTTACAGGTCGAATATTAGTTGCTGTCACAAAGAGAAGATGTTCCAGACATTTAGTGGTAAGTATAAAAGATTATGGCTAGGTGGTATATCTGCAACAATGGGAGGCGTGGATAAAGATAAAAGAGGTCTTTAGGGTTAAATCCTTTGGTTTGCCTAATGAGGACGACCTGTTAGAATGCTAAATGTCATTAAAGGATCTTGCAAAACTTTTTTAAACCTAACAATTATAGCATATTATCAGCCTGTAAACTTTTAAGGGCCCCTTTTTACCGGCAGCAGGGACTTTACAAACTAAACATAATTTTTTTTCGACTATAACCATCAATATAGTCAAAAGGGGAGCTGTATATGGTACAAGGAATCGAGGAATGCATGTGCTTATATAAGTGCAGCTCATGCACGCGCTGCTACAAATTTTTTTATCCTCATTGTTCTTATTTATTGTAAGGTTAGCGTGCTGCTCCTAGAGAGCCCCCAATCGCCAAGTAGATTTCTATAGTGCTTTAGTTCTTCTTATATTACATCAAAGTTTATGGTATATCTTATTATTATTATATTATATAACGTATTGTTTAGAAATATATATTTTCGAGGACTTCCGGCCTGTCAAATTGACAAGTAACAAAGAAATCTTTGTAGCACATTCACGAGCAACACTAAGAAGCTAGGTCTTGGTTTCTTACATTAAGCCGCAGGCAAAGTTTCAATTTGCAGTTAAAAAATTATAATTGGCTTATATATATATATAATAAAATAATAATATTGTAACTTTTATTACGTATCTAATATACTATATTCTACAAAAGGCCCTGATTCGGTTAATAAGACTCCATAAAAAGCGCGCATCAGGCAGCCAATAACTCATAATAATATTTATCAGTTCAAAGACATAGGACCAAGCCTCTTCGAGTTTGTTGCTCCAAAAGTCTCCCTCTACTTTTCTTACAGTTTTTAAAAAAATTCTTTTTACTAATATTAAATGCCCTTTATGACAGTGATAAGTGCTATGTCTTTTTGCCAAGGCAGACATTTTCATTATAAATATTTTTAAGTCATTTAAACATGTAACACAAAAATCGATCATAGATGTAAACATGGCAGCCTGCTGCTTGGTGTTTCTTGTTTTAAAAAGGCTCTTTATTCCAGGAGACCCTCTAAATAAGTTGAAATAAAATGCCCACCCGAGCTCTGTAATGTTACACTTGGAAGTTATACGCTGCCAACTATCCGTTACTAACTGTTTAACTGCACTTGAAAATCGAGGAAAAGAATTGGTCCTTATCACGCTTATAAGATGGTCTTTAGCTTCAAAAAAAAGAGCAACATTTGCTTCATTTAAACCTTCTTTAATTTTTTTTAAGCACGGGCTGTTTATATTAATTTGTCTGGGACTGCATGGGCCAATAAATTCCTCGTATATCTGTCGCGCTTTTATAATTCTCTTTTTTTTACATTTAATAGTTTGATAGTCATACACAGCTAGCACGAAGTCTAGATTTTCCGTACTATATTCATGTTCCATAAAACTCCTCAAGATATTTACACTTTGAGAAGAGCTAAAAAGAATTAAGAAAGGATGATCTTCATCGAGTTCCATGGTTGAATACCTCTGCTTCCTTATAATGAAATTGCAAGAGGTATTTAAATAGCGCTCGGCTTTATTTAATTCCAAGCTCAAGCTCAAGCTCCCCTTATCAGCAATATGAATAAAAAAAAAATTTAGGTGATGCAAGCTTTCCTTACGAATCGATAGAGATATCTTTCTTAATTTTGTTGACCTTCTGTTCTTTTTTTACACTTCTTATAGGAGTATTTCCTTTAATAACTGTGGTTTATAGTATCCTCCTTTAATTTGGTAGGGCGGACTGTACCTTTTCATCTATAACCTCAAATTCTATTCCAACAATTTTCCTTAATTACATTTTTGAAAAACGCTGTTAGCATAATAATAACACCCTATTACCACATTAGGACACAAGCTTTCACTACCAAGTTAAAAAAAGGTAAACGGAATTTTAATCATCAATTATTGGATGATTATTCGTTGTTACTTTGTAGTAAGAAAGGAAAATAATAATCAGTAATTATTATTTTTTGATTGTATATAACAGTTTAATTTGATCATGTATGGCGTTTTGTGAAAATTTGCATTTTATAAGTTTTAAATACTTCCAAGTTTCAAAACTAACCTTTAGTTTCTCCCAGAATAAAATTTATGTATTACTTCCCTTTCCTAAATGCGCATAAAATATATTGTAATGCATTAAACAATGTAAATGTTGAGCTTATGAGGTAAGCCTTTTGCGGTTAGAATTGTTTTTTTTTAATTTTTTTTTATTACTTCTTGAATATTTTACGTACCATAAAGGCCATCAACCTCACTAGGCACTAATATATTACAATTTTTTAATTTTGGCAGTTCCTCTTGAGGGTGTTATAAATACTCCTTTTGAAGCACTTAAAAAAAAATAACTTTACATCAAGTAACTTGCGTATTCATTATAACCCATACAAAATGAGGGATAAAGATTGCGACATTTAAGGCTAAACTTTATTGCTATAGAGGAACACGGTGTGATAGGTTTTTATCAAGCTATCAATTTTATGGCTTAAAAAAAAGATAATTCCTGACTATGACAATAGTATTCGGTTAAAGTAATAACCGATATTGTGAGAGTACGTACTATCTTTTTATAAGTTGCCAAGGTATAAAAAGGGTTCTAGTTACTGGTACCTCGAGTTGACTAATAACATTAATATACAAGAGATAACAGGTTTATTGCATTATTCTGCAATTACACTCAGAAGCACGAATATGAGGTGCTTCCTAATTATTAGTTCATATTTCCATCCAAAAATTCCAATACCCAATATGGTTTCCACGTTTTCTTGCCGAAAACCAACTCGTCACAAACGAAATTTCTTTTTGACAAAAAAATTGTCTTCACACAAATATTAGTAGAAGATGAATACATTGAATAAATACAGTGAATGGGTTATATAATATAGGTAAGTTGGAGTACTTGGAAATACTGTAAATTTATATTAAAGATTTACCAGGCGCACTAGATCCAGTCGTACAGCAAATAAACAAAAAAATCTGGGACAAGTATAAAAACCTACGGAATTAATAAAAGCTTTTTTCCCTAAAATTTTATGTATAATATTCAACGTATTAATAAAAAAATTTGCCCCTGTTTCCGCTTTAAAGTTACGCAGCTATTATAACAATCCTCATGCTTTTTTTTAAACGAAAAATTAAGGTAGGCGGATACGTTAGAAAAAATACCACGCAATGACGGGGCTGAAGCATAGTTATGCGTGCGTTGGGATATTCTGCTACTTTTTGGCAGTTCACAGGAAGTGTGTAATAAAAATACGAAGAGCCTAAACAAACCCAGTACGCTCCGGTGTATGTTTATGGAAAAAAGATGTAGGGCATACAGCTGCTTTTGATTTGTAAAACTTCACACCTACTGGTGTTTGCTTATAATCGATGCAACCGGTATCATGTGTGTTTTGCAATTTATAAAATTATAAATATTAAAAGAATGTGGAAAAACCCTAAAGAAAGTATTGTAACCTATTTAAAATATTTTTCACACTGTATGTTAATTTGACTGAAAGGAGACGGTTTTCAATTAAAGCTAAATTTTACTAACCATGAGCTTTCATAACACTCTTATTCCAAGTTATTCAAGAAAAAACTAAAATATGGAAAAATATTATACTTAAATAGATAATTCTTTAATAGTTAACCTAAGTTAGTATCACTTTTTTGTCTAATATCCTTTTTTATAAGTCTAGCAGACTGCGTTAGTACTAATCTTATCTGTAAATCCTAAGGCTAACGATTATCTCCTCCTGAGTAACTTTGAAAGTAGAGTTTTCCTCAACACGCAAACTATTAAGCCTACCAAGCCCAACATGACGCAAAATTACAAAAACTTGTTATAAAAGAATTAGAACCTGTGATAACGAAGTATATCAACTTTGTGCAAAGTAACTATAATTTTTTTAAAGCTAACTTAATACAAACTGTAAAATAAAAGAAATTATAATAGATATAATAATTGTTATTATTACTTTTACTAGGGATATATTATGTATAAAAGGCTATAAATATAAAAATGAGGTTAATAACTATTATGTCTTAAGTAAATTCACAAAATACTTATAAAGTTAAAGTATATACTTCTTAATACAAAATAATTTTTAGTAGTTAAATAAGATAAACCTTGGAATAGTACAACGGCTCTAAAAGTGTATAAAAGTAGAAGGAAGCTTAAGAAGTTAGATTATATTTTATTAAGTCTACTTAAAAAGAATCGTTTACATTATTTCTTGGAAAATAAAATTAGTTTCATTAATTTAATGATTTTCGCATAAAACTATTTAATCCGAGGAAGTAAAAAAACCACCGGCAAGAAGAACATTTTTGCGGGTAAAGCGGGTATACACGACTGGCGTGCATTTTGTAGGAAACGCTGCTAACTGAAGACTAAAAAATAAAAAAATATAGATATTAATAGATTAATCAAAGTTATATATAACAAAAAAAATATTTTATTGCGATTTGGAGTATTTATAGGTTAATGAGTGGCGCGAAATTTAAGCCCCTGAGAACTCAACAAATAAAGGGCTACATGAAAAGTATTTTCAATATAAAAGTTAAAAGTTATAGATTTAAATTTTATATATAACTTTTTTCCCTATACGTAAATACTTCATGAAAAGGTTATAAATAATAAGTTAAAAAGTATTTTCCAATCCACTAAAATATTTTAAAGGAATCTTTTGATTTATATAAAGTACAACAAGTTATGAACAACAAGTGCGTCAAGTTTAGATAAAAACTAATTAAAATAACCTTTTTTTTAATTTTTATTATAACTATTTTATGGTAACTAACCTAAATAGTAAAGGAGAAATTTAACGTGCTTATAATATAAATCATTAAAAATTTTTATAAAAGAAAATTAAAACTAAACAAAAAAATAAGTAAAGCATTTTGATACTTTAATTTAATATCTTTATTTTCTTTAACTACTTAAAAAATGAGGAATAAAAAAGATTCTACAATTTAATTGTATTAAGTATAATAAAGTTTTAATGAAATTTTTTCTCGTTGCACATTTTTTGTAAAGAATAATAGAAATTAATAAAATATAAAAGTAAATAGATAAGAAAAAATAAAACAATATATATATAAAAATCATATATGCTACTGATTTATGAGGCAGAACTAGATTTTCAATATTAAAGTAAAAAAAAATAAAAAGTACTTCTGTTGAATAATATTAGTTAACTCATTGATATCATAAACAGTAAAATATAAAAGATAAAGTTTAGGTAATAAAGTAAATAAATAAATATTATAAAGTTTTTAACCATAAAAATATTATTCAAATTTTAGAATAAAAAAATTATTTATATAATTATTAACCATTATTATTATTTATTATTATTTTACTTACTTTGAAGGTCGTGGCGTAGAATCAAGACCAGCAAAGTCCCATAAGCGAACAGTATTATCTTGAGAAGCTGATGCAAGCATGTTTCCTGTTCGACAGATAATATAAGTGAGGAAAAATAATATAAATATGAATAATAAGAGGAAACCATCAGAACTAAACTGAAGACTATAAACAGAGGAAGAGTGGCCGATAAAAGAGCCAAATTGCTTTCCAGTAGACAAATCAAAAACGTTAATAACTTTATCTTCTCCTACATAGTAAAAGATGTTTAATAGCTAACAAAAAGGTTACTGCCTACCATATAATAATAAAAGAAACCAATATATAAATGAAGATTTCTAACTAAAAAGTAGAGATGTTAGCAACTAATTATAAACTGCTACAAGAATATAATGAGTAACGTAGAATTATTAATTACAATTCATTTAGAAAGAAAAACACTTATAATAATTATATCTAAATAAAATTCATAATCATTAAAGTATTGGAGAAATAAACAAACCACCTTCATGGATATAATTTTAGTAATAGTAATATAATAATAATATAAACATAGGTAACCAGAAGAAGCTAAATATTTTCCATTAGGAGAAATAGAAAGCGTATAGATGGTGCCCGTGTGGCCTATTTATAGTATATTACTATTATTATTAAAAATTCCAGTGTTATAATAAGTCTCGCTAGTATTATTAATAACTTGATCATTTAAATTTTTTTTAGATTACTACTTTTTAATTTAAATTTTCAATTTTTCTTTAATCGAACATTTTTTTTGGAAATTTTTTTAATTTTTCAAGTAAATATTCTTATAATTAATTTAAAAATTTAGAACTCGGTTTATTTATTTTTACTTCTTATTTTTCTATATTTGTTTTGTTATAATTATTTCTTGTATAATATTCTTTTTTAATTATTTATATTTTTATTATTTTCAGTTTTTTGTAATAATTTCATTATAAATTAATTATTTTAAATTAGTTTTACAATTTTTTTTTAAAATTTTTAATAATTATAAAACATTAATATATTTTCTTTCCCAAATTTTATATTTTCAAAAATTTTCTGTGTAAAATCGTTATTTTTATTACTATTAGCCACAAAAAGTATTTTTAGTAGCTAAATACAATATTTATGTTGCTTTATATTTGTTATTATTATATTTATCAAAAAATTAGTTTTATATAATTTGTTTTTTTTGTATTAAAAATAATCTTATAAATTTATTTATATATATTTGCTTTTATTAAAATTTCCATTCTTTAAATATAATTATTCATTGAATAATCAAAACTATATACTTTTTAATTTTTTAGTCATCTAATTTAATAAAAATCATACCCATTATTACTATAACTTTTTTTCTATAAATATATATATAATTTATTTTTCATACGTTATTATCAATTTTAATGTTTCCTTATAAAATATATAATATAGAATTTATTATTTTTTATTAATCTTGAATTCATCTTTTCTTCTGTTATAATTTAATATCATTTATAGTAATTAAACTTTTTAATTAATATTATTAATTAAAGCATTCAATTACAATTATTATTATTTACTTATTTATTAAATATTGAAATAGAAAACTCGAAGTATTATTTCCTATTATAATAATAGTATTATTAATACATTCCTTTTTTTAATTATAGTATTATATTTATATATTGTTCATAAAACCTTGAAAATATTAAAAAAAATTATATTCAAATTTATCATATTAATAGATATTTTTTATGAGAATTTTTAGTAAAACTTTAAAAAAATGTTATTATATGTAAATTAATGTTAATAGTATTTTTATAACTTTTCTTTTTACTTATAATTTTATATATTATTTCTATTATCATTTAAAGTTGCATACACATAATTATTATTATATTTACCAGTAAATAAACGAACGCACGTGCCAGTCTGGACGTCCCACAATCTGCAAGTCTTATCGCTTGAGCCAGTCGCCAAATAGTTGCAGTTTGGGTGAAACTTAACGCACTTTTATTATTATTGATATTATTACATTATTTTTTCTTATTATTTAATTATTTTTAATGTTATAATAATGCGTTTTATTATTAATATTATTATGTATTTCTTTCATATCCCTAAAAAGTTTTTTAGTACCAAGTTGGTAAAGCAATAAATAGTATATTAAACACAAAAAAAATTAAAAAAATACGTAAAATAGGAAAAAAGTTTACTTATTAAAAATATTATTAAGTTTTTCTTACTATAGAGTTTATAATATATTAACAAATTTTGTTATTGATTTATAATAGTAATACAATTATACTTTTTCCTATAGTTATTGGTATAATTTTTAATTTATTATCGTTCTATTTTATATTATAATTATTGTTCTTTACTAACATCAACGTCGCCCAAATGACCAGCGAATATTCGAAGTGGATATATATATTGTGTGTTCCAAAGTCGAGCCGTTCGGTCGGACGAGGCAGTAGCAAAGTACGTTCCCATTGGACTAAAATCAACGTCCCAAACAGCATAGTTGTGGCCTTTAAAATAATGCAAATTGAAAATATTTAAAAATAAAAGCGATAATAGTAAAAGTTGTTTATTAAATATTAAAAAAAGTAAAAAAAAGAGTTCCGTTACCTTTAAAACATACAAGATTGCTATACAGTTCCAAACTCCATAAACGTGCTATTGAGCAGTTTTAAAAAATATCATTATTACTATTATTAGTATTATTATAATTGTTGTTATTGTTATTATTATTTCTTACCAGTAGTATCTTCACTACAAGATATCAAGAAACGATTGTCTGGACTAAACTTTACAGCAAAAACAGGTCCACTGTGACCTTTTCAAATGTATAATGACAATAATACTATTAGTAATAATAATAATAAAATAATAAAAATAGTGACTAACTCTATAAACTTTTTTACATTAACAATAAAGTTATTTATAAAAAAATTTGTAAATATATAAAGATAACAACCAATCAAAGTTTTGCAAAGGGAGCCTGTACTTTTATCAAACAATGAATTATAATCAAATTCTATATAAAAAAATTTAAAAATAAAAATAAAATTTATAAAATATTAATAAAAACGTACATAACAATTATTAATATTTTTTCTTATAAAAAACACAAATAATGAACCATGAAAAAAATATATATATATATTACATTATAATAAATAAAGAAAAAAATTTTCATAGCATTCAATAATAATTTCCAACCAGAATCTTCCAAATCATCGAGTTCTTCATTAGACTTGAGCTCGTATAAAAAAGTCCCTGTCAAACTCCACACGCGAATTTGCGAATCAGAAAAACCGGCAGCCATCAAGCTACTGTCCTCCGAAATATCCATACAATTCATTCTTTTAATAATAATAATATTAGTAGTAATCTATATATTAAAAAAAGAGTTATAACAATAATAATATTTAGTAAAGATGATAAATAAAAACTTTTTTATACAGCAATATTTATAATAAAATTATTACTATTAAAAAAAATATTAAAGTTACTATATTAGGCATATAAAAACAAAATATTTATAATGATATAAACTAAAAAAAATTATTATAATAACAACAATAGGGAGAAAAATATTTAAATAACAATTATTTTATAAAACATTTAAAAACTTAATTATTAGAATATTAACATTAATATTAATAATATTATACTTAATAAAATAATTGTAATAAAAACTTTTATTATAATAAAAGTTATAATAATGTTAATAGTAAAAAAATATTTAATTAAAATTTCTTATAAATATAATAATTAACAATATAAAAAAATTATAATAATCTTTTTTTATATAATAAAATTTATAATTTTAATATTTATAATAAGAAATATATAAAAAAGGTTATTATAATAAAAAAATTAATACAAAATTGATGTGATAACACTAATAATAAACAGTAAAGATAATTATAAAATTTTTATGATAATGTAATCATTATGAAAACTTTACATTAAAAAAATATATGCAACGCATTGATTAAATTGTTAATAAAAAAATATTTAAAAAGAATTATAATAATTATAATAATATTATTATAATTATTATTTTCATTAGCAAACATACAAACTCTACAGAAAAAAAGTTTTTTAATATCAATAACATTATTAATAATGATATAAATAGTAAAAGAAGTAATTAAAATTATATTGACTTTGTTAACATAAAAACTTGACAATCACCAAACTTTTTAGTAAACATTATAATAATAAAAAATATTTTAACAAAAGTTATTATAAACTGAATGAAAAAAAATAAATAAAACTGATATTTTTAATAATTAAAATTATTAATTTACACTTTTCAGTAATTATTATTTAAAATAACTAACATAAATAATAACATAATAGTGAAAACAATATTACAAAAACTATTATAAAAGTACATCATGAAAATTTTTATATTTATAACAATAAACTTTTTGGTTACTTTTTAAAAAAAAAAGTAAAATAATATTTAAAAGTATATAAAATAATAGTAATTAAAGTATATATAAAATGTATATCATTTATTATAATAATTTCATAAGGTAAAACTTTCTATTACATTTAATTTTTTTTTTTAGAGTTCAATCATTTATTTTATAATAAATTTACTAATTTACAAACTTTGAAATAAATAAACTTTTATAATCCAAAGAAAATATAATAATAACGACATAAAAGTTATTTACATGCAAACTTAAAAAAACTTTTTCTTCTCTAAAAACATACGTAACGCTTACGATTTCATATAATAATAATTATATTAATATAAATTTTTACTAATGATTATAAAAATTAAATAAAAATATTAATATTAATAATATATCAAAAGTAATATAAGATAATATAATAAATAGTCAATGGTAAACAACAAGCATCATATGTATAATAATACATAATTAATATTAATACATAATTAATATAAATAATTATACTATAAAGATATAATAAATAATAATAACAATAATATATAATAGTAAATAGTAGCAAAGAAGAAATTAATGAATAATTATAATAAATAGTAATTATTATAATAATATAACAGTAAAATATACAAATAATAAATAGTGGTATTAATAATAATAATAATAAAAGACAATAAATAATAAATAATATCAATATATAATAATAATAGTAACCCTCCGTTGGTGTTGAAAAAAGTATACATGCAAATAGAAGGCAGCGAGGAAGAACTCAAGTTAACTTTGACGCTGGATTCTTGGAACGCATTCACTCGCCGAGTTACTTCTCTCTCAGTTCTGATAATAAATAAATAAAAGTAATATAATAATAACAGTAATAAAGTAAAGTAATAATAAATAATGAATAAGTATAGAGTTAAAAATATAAACTATAATAATTATGTTGGTAAATAACTAAAGTAAAAAAAATTTCATATATGATAACAATAAATAAATATAATAAAGTAATAAAGCCAGTAATACATAAATGTAGTAAAAATTTATAAAATAAAGGAATATAAATATTATGTATTTAAATATAAAATAGTAACATTAGAAACAAAATTTACAAAATTTAGTAGCAACAATATATAAATAAGTTTAAGTAAATAATAAGTATACGATAATATTAAAAATTTAAAAAATTAGAATGAAACTTTAATACTTTCTATAAATAATGTAAATAATAAATAAAAAAATAAAACTATAATAATAATAATATAGTTTAATAAGTATATATAATAAAAAAACTATAGTTATAATAATATATATAAAAAAATAAACAACCTTAATTATATTGGAAATAATAAAGTAATAAATGTATAGTAATAATATATAAATAAACATAATATTATTAAATTATAAATATAAAATAAGTAATAAATAATTAATTATAAATAAATTTATAACTGTATTAATATTAATCAATCAATAAATAGTAATATATACAAAAATAACTAAAATATATATAAATAAACTAAGTAACTATAAAAAATATAAAAAACTATAATAATAATACTACGGCTAGAACAATAATTTATCAATATAATAATACTAAAGTGTATAATTATGAATAATTATAAAATTATATAAATATGTAAATAAATGAGATAGTAAAAATAAGGTTTCCTATTAGTATTAGTAAACTTTGTATATATTTTACTTATTTATTACTATTATTATTATTATTACTAGACCCACCAATGCTCTACTTCAATTCTCTATCACTACCAATAAGAATCTTCTTTAAACACATAAAGTGCGAGGATTGGGTTTACTTAAAGAAAGCTCTATTCTTCCTATTGGTTAATGGAGTATAGCCAAACACATGCAAATAGTAACCGGCCAATAACAGATAAAGAGTATTCTTAATGCAAAAATCTATTGGTTTCCCATGTATGCCACGTTCTCAGAACTTTTTCATTGAGTCAGCGCTTAGCCCATCATTTTTACTGGACGATGAAAAAAATAGGGACGAAACATTTTGATATATAAAGTTGAGAGGTTGGAAACTCTTAACCAACTCTTTCCTTAGGTAATTGTTATCCCCAAAAGTTTAGTCGACCAATTTGATGGGACGCAAACGAATTGCTACAAATAATGGACAACCAATCGGAAATCTCGATATCAAATATATGATCTCTTTAAAAACTTTGCAAGGGCGGACAAAGACAATTATATGTGGTAGCCAATAAAATCAGACATTTGATATGCGTAGACAAATCAGAAATGAATATTTAAAGGCATATAAAGGTATTAAGACGTTTGTGATACTTTAAAAAATCTAAAAAAAAAATAAAACTTTAACAAAACAATTGTAAATAATAATAATTTACTCAATAAAACTTTTATTGACCACTAAGGCTTAATCTCTACCACGTGTGAGGGTAGACACCAATTTTCGAGAAATTTAAAAATATATAAGCATTGAGCATGCGCCAAGTAAAATAAAGATTATATATAAAACTCATAATTTATATCTTGTATAAAAGTTGCTCCAAAAAAAACAAATATAAATTACTACAATTTCGGTAAAGGGATGCGGTCACGAGGAGGGACGTGGGGAGGGACAGAAACCAGGTCTTCCCTGGAAGGAGGGACAATAATTTTTTTTCCCTTTAAATAATTATTAGAATTATTTTATTATTGCTATATTTTTAATAACTTCTATTGCAATTAAATAAAACATAATTAAAAAAATAAATGATAGTTAACTAATAAAAAGGGCTAAAGAATGAGTATTAACCCACAAAAATAAATATAAAATATCATCAATTATCATTATTTAATAATATCATTTAAAACATATTTAATTTTGTATACGTCCAATAATAAATTAAAACTGTTGATTTCTAAATATAATAATGACTATTTAATTAATATAAAAAAAAACAAATTAATTAATAGTACCGAAGAAAAATAAATAATAATAAATATAAAAATAATTATTAACCAATAAAAATAATTTTAAACTGTTCATTAAAAAATGTATATATACGAATATGTTCCAAACTATATATAGATTTATTAATAAATTTTCACAAACGATTAGAATGAACATATTACTAATACAAAAAAAATTAAAACAAAAAAATTAAAAAAAAAAAATAACATGAATATCAACAATTTCTCGCAATAATAAAAAAAACTTTTATATCAAATTTAATATAAGCTATAAAATTTTTTATAGTTGGAATAAACTATTAGAAATAGTAAAAAAACAATAATACAATAAAAGTAACAAGTTTATATAATTTTCAATTATCCATAGAACATATATAAAAAATTAATATAAGTTAATTCATATATAAACCAATAATTTAGTATATAAATTAATAATAAATAAAACTATAATTCTGAACATTTCCTAACAACAAATAGTAAAAGACCTTAAATAGATGTAAAAGATTTATAAATAATGTTAATAACAACAACAAATAAAATTCAACAATTTGCTAAAAATATTTTCGGATGATAAAAAATTACAAATATTTTAAACCAATAATGTATGAATATATTTTTTAAATTACATCAAATCAACTAATCATATTAAATATAATAATAATAATTTACTTCCTTCATCTGTGTTTGATATTCAAAAAGTTCCGCATCTTCTTCGAAAGTTCCCCTTTAATTAATAATAATAATTATGGTAATAATAATAATAAAAATATATATTAATGAAACCATAAAATTTTTTTTTGCTCCATTTCTTCGAGTTCTGCGAAAGTCTACCACACCAATAATAATAATAGTAAACTTTACTAATGCAGTCTCTTTGAACTTAAAAACTGATTTATAAATTTTTAAAAACATTTTTTTTTTAGTTATTATTACTATATTAATTAAAAAAATTTCGTAATATATGAAAACTTTAAAGTTACTATAAATTATTATTATTATCATTTTTACAACTTTAATTACTATTTTTGTTATTTTTCAGGTAAATAAAAAATGAATAGTAACATAATAAAAATTTATACTTAACTTATTATTATAAACTTTTTTAATAATTGCTTATTACAATTAAATTATATATTAATTTATAATAAAAAGTTAAAATAGATATTCAAAGCGGAACAGTATTATATAAACTTTAGTATATTATTATTCTTAGTATAAAAAATAACAATTTATACATTTCCAATAAAAACGTTCTTCCGACAATTTTTTTCGTCTTCAGTTGGTTTTCCACTAAAAACTAAATAAGAAATATATGTATAATAAAAGAATAATATTAATATATATTATACAAAATGGTAAAAAACAAAGTTTTTTAGTAGATTATAAATTATTTATGACGCAAAAAAAAATTAATAATATTTCACAAACAATAAGATAAAAATCATTAAAGTTATATATTTTTTAACATTAAAATATAGTTTTTTTTAAAAAGTTTTCAATAATATTAAGTCACTTTTAATCATTAAAAAAATTAATGAAGAGTATAAAAAAAATATTCTTAAAGGAAAAATTTCAATCGTTCCATGATTATTTTAATATTTTTAAAAAATAATTTTATTTGATTATAAAATTTATATAAATATTTTAAGTTTTCTACATTTATTAAATGCTGATTTGTCATAAAAAATATAATAATTAACTAAAAATTAATAAAATACACTAAAAACTTCAAGTTTTTCATAATATAAATCCCTCAAAAACTATTCCGATATTAATTTATACAGCAAATATACAAATTTTATTATATAATTAAAAAGAACAAAAAATTTTATCAACAAATCATTCCTTCATACCTAATTTTTTAACTTTTATAAAAAAATTATATTTATTTTAATTTGTCAGATTGAAAAAAGCAAATATTTTTTTTTAATTTTTTCTTTAAACATTTTTAAAAGAAAATTTATTTCTATTTTAAGTAGTCAAAAAAATAAATATAAAATTATTAAAAAAATTATAGGTTTTTCTTTAGAACAAATTCCTAATATTTAATGAATTATCTCAATTTTAATTAGTCAGAAGAAATCATAAAAACATTAACAAAAATAGCAAACCTATGAAACTCAAGTGCTGGTTTATAATACTCAAAAGCAATATTAATTTATTGTCATGCAAAAATGTAGTCAACAATTCATAAGAAACTCTACATATTTCCAGAGAATACTTCGTTTTTATAAATGTTCTTTAGGTATATAAAAATAATAACAGAAAAAAACTTAAAAATCCTAAAAAAACCAATCAATTTATTTTAAAAAAGGTTATAAAAGTTATTACTTTGTATAAAAACTAGCTAGTTTCGAAAAAAATTCCTTTAATAAGCTCATTATAAACAAAAAGTTGTATTAATATTTTTATTCATCTAAATATTTAAAAATTTAACATGGAATAACTTTATTAATAACACGTTTCATAAAAACCAATCAGATTTAGATTTAAAAAATTGATTAATTATAAACATATACTTTATAAATAAACCAATAATATCCTCAGCAATTATAATATTATAAACGACCAAGCAAATTCAATGGATATAAAAATTTATTTAAAAATATAAAATCAATCAAATTAAGTACAAATTGACCAATAAAAGGTAATAAACAGTTATTATTTACACATTCCCATAATCTTCTTAGTTACTTCGAGTAAAAATATATAATCATAGTAAAAAAAAAATTACTTAATAATCTGTAAAAATAAGAACCAATCAAATATGGAACAGTTAAATAAAAAATTTGAACACCAATAAAATTATATAAAAATTTGAAGTATTAAAGGTACACAAGTCTAGATGGAACCAGTTGCACGCTTCGATATACTTTTAATTATATTAAAAAGTTTCTTTACTTATTATTAACTTTTACTAAAAGCTTATGCTAAAAACCAATCAAATTATCTATAAAAAGACCATTAAAACTATAGTTAATTCTTCCTAGATATTAATAACAAGATTAAAAAACTTTAGTTTGCGTAAAAGTAATCCAATTATTTTAAAACATCTTTTATAGACTAATAAAAGAAGTAAAAATTAGCCAATCACTATAACTATAATAAGCCACTAATCAATAAATTTTAGTGAGACATTCAAACATTAATATAGAACCATCAATCAAGAAATATGTTTTTAAAATTATTTTAATGGCGCTTTCTATTAAGTGTGAATATGATTTTTTTATTTTCGTGTATTCTACCTAAATAATAATCTATATATAATTCTGAATGGTATATATAAAAACTTTGCCAGCTCGTTTTCTTTTACGTGCAAAGGCAACTTTATAGAAAGTAATATTTGCAGTTCGCTGTTATGTTGCTCCGCATGATCGTTCCCAAATTTTTCGAAAAAGAGATCCGCTGAAAAGGTTATCAAAAATTAAAAATGCAACCAATAAAAACAAGAAAAAAAAGCAAGTAAAAAAGAAGAGCATTCATTAGGTTAACAGAAAATCAATTTCTCCACTGGTCAAAACGATCAAAATAAAACAACCAATTGAAGATAATAAAACGATTAGTAAAGTGAAGTGCACTAAATCCAATAGTTCAGCTTAATTTTTAAGCAACAGGAGTGGTGAAATAACAACTTCTTCCTAAACACAACCAATAGCCCTGATGCATTTATAATTTTTTAAAAAAACAAATAAGCGCTCGTCCATATACTTCTATTGGTTTCTATGCAACAGCAATTAATACTAAAAACCAGAAAAACTTTTCTTAGTTACGGCGTTCTACAAAATTAAAAAAAGAGATTCGAGTTGAAATGCCAATCATAAAATAATTAATTTAAAAAGAAAACGTCAATAAGTTATTCACTAAAAGTGTTATATAATAGTTTTCCAGAACAATATCAATATTATATTTTTATAAGAAAACAAGTTTAGTATATATGCAAAAATATATAATTTTTTTCTTACCTTCGTTGACAAATCCTTTGCTAACCAAGCCAAGATAACAGTGCAAAAAAATAGGGAAAAGGACCAACTCCAACTAAATATAATAAAAGTAAATTAAAAAAAAACCTTGAAAAACTTTGAATTTCCAAAAAATAATACAGCTTCTTTAATAAAATTAAAATGAAAAATTTTTTATTATTAAAATAAAGCAAATTATTCGCTTTAAATTTCATAGAAAACCAAAACATTTTGTAAATTAGTAATATTAACTAAAAATTATAAAAAATAATTATAAAATTTTTTTATAGTAGAATAAAAATTAAATTTAAAAATAAATTTTATTCATATATAAAATCATTTAAAAATTATCACGCACTTTTTTAGGCCCAACAAATATTAAGAACTAGTAAAAAAAACTTCGTATTAATAATTTTAATAGTACTAAAAAAAAACCTAAAAACAGTTTTTTAAAACTTCATGAAAAGTTAAATGTTTTTTAACAAAAACTTTAGTTTTCATAGAAAACTTAATATAATGAAAACAATAAAAAATCTTAATAAATCTAATTTAAGCAATAAGTAATAAGTGCAACTAAATTAGAAAAATGAAAAATAGTATGAAAACTTATTTATGATATAATCTTATTTAAAACTATAATAACTTAAATTAAAGTTTTAGTTTACTTATTGTTATTATATAAAAGCACTAAAATAAACATTTTTAAATATAAAACTTTTAAAGAATATTACATTTTCTAAAAAAATTAAAATAATAAAATTAAAAATAATTAACTTGAATATTTTTCTACAAAAATGTATTATATATATATTTTTTTTTTAACTAATAATATAAAATATTATAACCACTACAAGTCATCTTAAAAATTAAACTTTTCATAATTGAAAAAAGTGAGACAGTTAAAAATATTAAAAACAAATAGTTGTGAAAATAAAATAAAACTTATGTTTCAATAAAAGTCTTTAAAGGAAAAAAAAAAAAAGGAAACTCCTAAGAAATAATTATGTAAAGAATAGCAAAATTGAATAAAAAAATTAATAAAAGAAATTTAAAAACTACAATGTTATAAGGTTGGTTTAAACAGATATTAATAGTAATATTAAAACTATAAGATATTATATATTTATAGTAATAACAAATTAATACTGTAAATTAATTGTTATGAGGCAAAAGTTTAAAAAAATTATAAAAATAATTTAATTTTTTTATTGAAAAGAAAAAACGCACTTCAACTCTATACATATCAAGAGAGCCGTTAATCCAGTCTTTTAATTTTTCATAACTGTTAGTGTACTGCGAGGGATCATCATCAGCGGTATTATAAAAAAGGATCTAAAAAAGAAAAAATTTACTAACCTACTAAATTATAAGATAAGACTGATTTACCTGAGAAGACAATTCGATTTCAGGATCAAAATGACTTTGAATAGATAATTCTTCAAGAGTCAAACTATTTGCCTGTAAAAAAAAAAATTACTTTTATATAAGAGAAAATTTAAAAAAAAGTTCCTCTCGCAGTAATGCCTCTTTAGTGGTATTATACCCTTTTTTACTTAAATAAGAAAGGACTATCCTATTTAGCTCTTCTTCCTTGAGACCTCCACCTCTTTCAACTTTCTCTATATTATTATATATATATATATATATACATATATATTATTCAACTCACTTGAAAAACTTCAAAGTTGGCAACGCCACAAAGCTAACCTTTCGAAGCTACAGGAGGATTTTTCATGGTATATATATAATTTTATATTTG